GTTGCGAAAATCTGAAGACAAAAACCAACCTGTGACTGTAAAGAAGACACTTTATTCGACAAAAACATCATTTATTTACGGTGTTCCTCAGAAAATGAAGCCACTAGGCCAGAAGTTGGGTACTTATTTTGATTGGTTAGCTGTAGGGCAAAATTGTCCAATAAGGTTTTTTCTCCCCACACAATAAATAACATGAAACAAGGTTGAAATTAAAAACTTGTACCTTGTCGGCAGGCGACTTAGAATAAGGGTTTTCATTTAGGCCGCTTCCTATCCGATTGTAATTTTTTAGTTTTTACTGAAGCCCCTGAATAGATAATGTCTGACAAATTCATTCTTACATCAAGCGTTTGCTAATACTTCTGAGGTTTATCTTGTAAAGTCCTCAAATCCAATATCATTGCGTGATATTAGAAGGCCTTTAGAACTGCTTTAAGGTTCGGTATAAATTTTATAAGTGATCAATGCAGTGCTGTAACTCCTGGCACGTATAGTGGATATTCAGTTTGGTCATCCAAATTTGTTGCACTTAAGATAGTAATCAACTTGCTCCTGGTTACTAACAAGATAGCACTATGGAATAATACAGTAAATGCAATGGTGTAATCTTTTCATCAGTCTACAAATATACTTAATACATGGTAATCACTTCACTTGTGTGGAAGGATCAATCAGATTATGCAAACGAATGTTAAACTGGCAGTCCGAAAATTTGTTGCTGATTGCTGAATCCACAGAACAAGTTGTACTATGTTAATGGTCTATTTCTCTTCAACCCATGCCTTTGAAAAAGAATACCAGCAGAACTCGGAAAAAGTAATTCCTTATAGTATATGAAATAATTGCCCATAATTTTTGAGATGTTGAACTAGCAGTGCAATTGTTCGTTGTTACCAAAATGAAACCCAATACAAAACCAAGTATCCTGTTAAAAGATAATAAATCTTAACAATCTGATAATACAATTTTTGAAATATGACTCTCTGCTTCTGAGATTGTGATGACTAGTCGAAATAGTAGACGTTGGGCGAACCAACTAGATTTGTGTCAAACGTCACGACCTAACTTGCTGACAAGACAACACAAACGTGTGGTTCAGTGGGGTATAAAGAAGGCATACAGTACAAGCGAAAATGTTGACAAACTTGTAGTAAATAAGTTTGTCAGGGAATACAAAAAGGTAAACTTACAATTTACCCGACTTTACTGAGACTGCCGGAGTGATAGTGAAGCCATGGAGTAGAATTAAACCTTCCGCTGAATCATCCTAAACAATAAATAACCGCAATCGTAATAATTATATTCAACTTACATCCGGATTTCTATAATAGTAGAATGTTGAATTTTTATAGACACACCATCTCTTCACATATTTACTGGTAAGTGTATTGGTTTTCTTCAACCAAAGCCATCCTTGACAATCCCCTTGTCCGAGATCTTTGCAAGAAATACGCCGAGCTATATTTAAGCAAGAAATAAAAAAGTCAAACAGAAAACAGGAAAGATATCACTTTTATGAATTTGCGATTGTCGAACGATTCAGACCACACCAGAAATATGAGTAGGATGCTTAAAAACCATAAGAAAGTTGAGATGCAAATATTTTTTCGACATTTACTATTCTAAAAGCATATCTGAGTCAAATGATCACTGAGAGCCAGCCTTCAGAACTTGCATACTTACAGATGCTTACATTACACACCTATTCTTCAACCCAAAGTTCAGTGTTCTAAACGGATGGTTTGCCTGTTTATTCTACGAAATTCTACGGAAAATGAATGATCATCGATGGAATGATACAGAAACCGCCTTTTTAAGATGGTTTCATTCATTTAATGAAAAACCTTAGGATGTCCAGACACCCACTGACGAACTTTAAATGAAAGTATATGGTGTTGTCAGCAATTGCTTAAAAATGGAGCCACAGCTCTCTCTGTCTCTCTCTCAGTTCAAAGAGGTCAGTTATCGCAGGTGTACAGCGGAACTACTTAAAGTGAAGTCTTGTATATTCGATTGTCAGTGGCTAAACGAACGTGGTGACAGTACCCAATGTGGTCTCGATGAATGCACATCACTTTGGCTTGTCAAACTAATGAAAATGAAAAACAGTTTGCAAAACAACAGTAGTTTAGCAGGTTGATCTAACCGTTTTTGATACCGAGAGTTGCTATCAGCTTGATAACTAACTTCAACAGTTTACAAAATCCAACCTTACTGTATGCAGTTCTCCGAGTACAAATCAATAAATTCAGCATCAACGAAGATATTCATCTCAATCTACCTGGTTATGAGCTAGTAAGTAGTACGCAGCTCCTGTTTATCTATTTCCATGGGAATGTTTCCTAAAATTAGGATGAAGATGGATATCAGTAGAATCTCACATAAGTATAAAACATCACTTTATCGAACAACTTATTATTTCGCATCAGAAGCTGGCTAAATAGCCCCAATATAGCTCATAGGTGAATGATGTTTGGAATGAATCATCGATCGTATACAAGTGACTTTTACAAAAATCATGTACCATGACCAAGCGGTAGTACATGATGGACTAACGCTGAGTGGTTGATGGCACACACTGTCAAATACAACAGCTACTTTTGAATGCATACCATTACAAATTTCTTTTCAACGATTGCGTTATCAAACTTTACAGTCGTATTTATAAGCGTTACACATCCTGAGGCAGCGCCTATTTGGACGTGAAAAAGGTTTGGAGGCATGTTCAGGGTGGACAGGCTACTGTGAACTGCAGCAACATACATAGTTGCGGGTCAATTGTGATGTTTTACACAGGGTTCCTTTCAAAAAGCTTCTTATTTCTAGAGTTCGACAACAAACCATTTTCCTACGATGATTGTCCAACTAAAAACTACCTTCTTCGATTCAGAAACCTTTTATAATAAGCCTAGATAGCTGTCGACTATTAATGTAAGTAGTTTCAAGAATACACTAATCGGTTTAGCAAATGTTACATCAAAAGTGAGCTACTTAGTTATGAGCAAAACCAAAATAAGGAAATAAAAGTCGAAAGAATTAACGCAGTGTTCAATAACGAGGGAAAAGCACTCACTAGGCTTTTTTGATCCCAGTCCATGTTTCAGGAAAAACACAAAATCATCAAGACTGGCACGATGAAGCTGGATAATGAGAATATTCGCATGGTATAAAATAAGTTTTACTGTAAATGGATATAATTTTAAAAAATGCAAGTCAAACAAAAAATGTTCGGTCTTAGTGACGGCGAACAATAAATCTAATTTAACTGTCCCGGAATACATGCATTTAAAAAACATCATGTCATGTGCGAAAAACAGGAAAGAAAGTCTGTTCATGATAGTTGGTGGATGTAAAGAGACCTTGTCTTCACTACAACTCTAAATACCACTCATTTCCTTAAACTACTTATCCCAAAGAAACAACTTTACAAGATTCCAGATATACTTATAATTATATAATGAAAGCGTTTCAAAATTATTATCATCACACAAAAGCGTAATCTCCTGAAGTAATAAACGCTGATAATACAATATATTATGCAAACGAACCGAGATAATCAAGAAAGCGAGGAAGTACATCATTAAACTGGGGAAAATAGAAAAAATAATGCTCTTAATGGTTTGGTTGTGGTCACGTTCAACTAGGAACCAGCATATGTGAAATTCAAGAAAAATACAACAAGGTTATTTTTTAGTAAACTGATATATCGGAAGCTTATTTGATGAGTCTGAATTACGGCGAGTGATTGTGATCATTTAGAAAGTCAACCAGTAGTATTCTAGTGTACACACCACTTCAATTTAAAAAATTAAGCACATGCAGCCATATCAGGGCTTGTGAAGAGTTATCATGTGAATTGACGACAACTAGTGCTTTGCGGGACGGATGCTCACGGTCACCGTTCCTATTCAACTTCGCAACCATATGTACGTCTGAATTCACAAGGATTGACCTACTCTCCGGAGGTCATCTTGTTGACTTCGATTATACAGATCATGTTGTCCTGCTAGGTAAAAGAAGATCCTGACAAAATTTGCTGAGCAGAAATCTAAGCATGTTTGGCATGTGTTTCGCTGGCACCTGTCAAATGGAGCTCAATGATACTCCAGGACTGGTCTGTTGCAACCACTCCCAGTTTAATGATAAGGAGTCAGGTGGTGGAATGTGTCGAACACTCCACTTACTTAGAAAGTTGCATCAACCTGAACCGGCTGGTTGTTGACGAAATCTCAAATTGCATTTGATAAAATCTCCGTGTGAGCAATGTTGAGGTCAGGTGAAGAGTACTAGGCAAGTCGACTGGTGAGGTTGTGAACCTTAGTCGACTGAGATGGTTTGGACATATACTGCGCATACCGAACCAACGCCTACCTCGATGTGCCATGCTAGGGGAAGTTGGATTAGGATGGAAGAGGGTTCACGGTTATCAGACCAAGATGTGGCACCGATCGATGAAGTCTCTGAATGTTGTTGTGATGATAATTTTAATTTCCCATTGGTATACAGGGCCGAATTGCTCAACCTCTGTTGACAGATGGGCTCCTACGCGGCCCTGTTTAGCAACGGGGAATTATAAGTATCATAACAACAATTGATACCCGTTGCACAAGATACGGTTATCGTGCCCCAGTGGCTTAGTGGAAAACCCCCTGGTGTTTGAAGCAATAGATACTGGTTTCGAGCCTCAGTGAGAACAACATCACTCACTGAGGTGCAGGTATATCCAGTTGATGAGTCACAAAGAAAACGAAATGTGCGTCCTGGATTCCTCTGCTAGTCACCAAGATAAATTATTCTTACTGTTGGTCCGAGTCGCCTAGGGAGATGTAGACGACCTGGCTAGGGTTCTTGAGACGAAAGGAATCAGTGGTTGAGAACTCTAGGTAAAAGATGGCTGAAAATCGGTCACAACGGCTCAGATGTATTCACTCCTTGACGTCTTCCAAAACTTGATTATTTGCACTAACCATTACCTTCAGATTGTTTATTCTCTCACACAAATTCATCTACTTTGATACCACTCTTTTTCCATCCACCTGTTCCTTATATACTACTGTTAAGTGTGACAACTTGGGTCGATGCACTTCTGTGCGATGTTTTACCTTGATTTTGCCAGTCAGTCAAACTGTAGCTTTTAGAATAAGCCTTTAAGACTGAAACAATGTTTGCGTTTCAAATAATTTGGAAGGCGGCATCACCATGAAATAACGACAGAGGAATAAGTAGTAAAAAGGGATTGATGCTATACTTTATTGAATAGTTAAATAAAAACAGGTAAGTACGTTTTACATCACTAGTTATTTAGCGTTAACTTATCACCATTTACCAGTGCAATCTGGTTTCAGTGACAACTAGACTGATGATTACAAAATCACCCATATTAATTGGAGTTGTGGCTCATCGGTTTAGAGAGTTGACTTCTAGCAAGGGAGTGGCGGATTCAAGCGCTACTCCATCTAACGAGGTCTGAGGAATCAGGAAGTATCATTAACCAGCACGTAATAAGTATGGGTTATTGCCTAATGCACGAATGTGCACAAGTTTGCTGAGTGGATTTAGATCCGATTCTTAAATCATAGAGTCAGATAGTATGTTGATCGCATTTATAATGATACAATTATTGTGTGAACCGTCAAACGTAGATGGCAGGTACGTTTGCAACGACTTTTAATAATGTCCAAAACTATTTAAAATATCATAATAAATAATTCAGCTTCATGACAAGATGTACAGGTTCATGCACTAGACAATAGGTCCTACATATTGTACATGAAGCCTTGATTCGATGGCCTAGACTGTCAACTTTCAACTAGTATGGTCACAAGCTCCAACCTCGCTCCAACTGCAGAAAAGCAAGGTAGTGTCATTAGGCGTAAAATAATAGCTGTAGTCTATTGCCTACTGAACGAAGGTATATGTAGTTAACTTGTCGAGTTTCATTTTCTCCCCATCTATAATGTGAGGGCTGGTAATGTTACCTGGTTGTCAAAACCTCAGTAAGTGGAGTGCGGTCATAAGCCAAACTGAGTATCCGGAAATCGAATGCTTAAACCAGTTAACTAGTGCGGTAGCAGCACGCATAGCTGATTTTCGCAAAATCGCACACTGCCTTTGACAGTTGAACATCAAAATATTTTTATAGCAATTCTATGTGATATCTACGTTCATTGTGCCAATAAAATAAAACGAAACTTACATTCCTATGACGTTTATCTAAAGCACGAAATTTAGGAGATGAACTGCTATAATAACGAAGCGAAGAAGATGAACTTGGTTTGTTTTCAGACGATAAATCTGCAGGAAATGAAAGGTCGAACTCAGCAGATAAAAAACCATAACTAGTAGAAATAAGTAAAATTATCTGAAAAGTAAAACCAGTCTTCCTAAAAAACGCAGTGACAAGCTACAAACTAAGTACTATAATTAAGATATTCTACGATGTTCATAAAATAGTCCAAATGTTGGTCCCACACAGTTGTACAAAAAATAACAACCATATATGGAATACTCTCTTGTAAAGTATTCCCACATCAGGGCACACATTTAGCTAATAAAAATTATTTCCTAACTGTTATTCAAGTTCGTTTAGCCATACATTGCGCAAAATTGGCAATAAAAATCCTGAAAACCGATAAAATCAGCCAAAGATACTCCTAGACAACAAGATAAAAGACACAAGTGAAAGCAGAGAAAAAATCTAACATATGCCCACATTAAGGAGACACAAAAACACACAACATTCAAACGCACCACCTCAAATACTGATTACCACGCCACTTCTTGGAACCATACCCACATATTCTCAACTAGCACTTTAGAAAAAGATTAACACCAGGACGATGCAAAAGGCGACCCAGTTCCGAACACCACAGACTCACAAGAAGAAATTTAACAGTAAACAAACAACTACTAAGATAAATACAACATTCCACAATTTAAGAGAATCACCAGTGACGACAACAAGTGTAGGTACAATTATTATTATTATTAGTCCCTTGGGTTCCTAGTGGAACATAGGGCTTCAGTAGCACGTCTCCAGTGACCTCTGTTCTCTGAGATCTTTTGAACCTGGTTCCACGACAGCCCACAAGCTCTCATTTCCTCCTCGCACGACCTCCTCCATGTCACCCTCGGACGTCCAACTCGTCGCTTCCCATGGGGATTCCACTCGAGGAACTGGCCTGACGCGTGATGTCCTCAGTCGGCCTTCTCAGTGCATGCCCAATCCATCTCCACTTCCTCCTGCACATTTGTTGCGTGATAGGTTCTTGGTTGTTCGTTCCCAGAGCTCCTTGTTGCTTATTTTTTCTGGCCATCTCATCTTCAGTAGCGAGCGTAAGCAGTTGTTGTTGAATGTCTGTAGTTTATTGGAAATCCCTTTCGTGTCGCGCCAAGTCTCTGAGCCATACAGAAGCACTGACTTGACGTTGGTGTTGAAAATCTGTATCTTGTTCAGCATGCTGAGTGCAGAAAAGTGTAGGTACTGGCTCATGCCAATCTTGCAGAACCACTCTGAACTTTACCATAACTACGGACACTGATCGTTAACTAATTGAGTACAATTTCAGTAGCCTGTATGTCAACACCGTAAAACGACATCCTCCGCATTCTCAAGGTAGAAACGTCTTTCACCTGATAACAGGTTTACACCGCCACCGCCACCACCACAAACCTCCTGTGGAGCTGTTTCAAGCCTATAATCGATGGCAAAGTTAAAGAGAAATGAAGAAATCTCACAGCCACGTCTGACCACAATGGTGGGAGGTGGCTGTTTGTCTTCATTCTACCCGCAGTGCCTAAGTATAGAGCTTTCAATATGTTAACAAACGTCTCATGGAAACCAGTCTCTAATAGACAGTGCCAGAGTACAGCTAGCCGTCTAACAAGTCTAAAACAGTCATAATATCAAGAAACGCAACAATCGTTGACCTTTAATGTGTGCGACGGTGTTTGACCACCTGGTGGATGGGAGAGTGTACACGTGATCAACGAACACATGACACGAATGAAACCTGACTTTCTTGTGGATGATCAATTTTTCAGGTATTCTATACAGCCTGTCAAGTGTAATTGCAGGTAATACTTGAAACACTACCGCTAGCCAACCCCTACTTCACATACGTTACGTAGACAGTTTTTAAGGATGAGTAGAACAATATATTCATTTCAGATAGACGGCTTCTCCAAGTGTTGCTTCCGCTTAACGTTCTAGGAGTCCATGGAAGTCTGTGATCGGCGTACCACCTACTTAATAGATCGTCTCTCTCACTGACATCAGGCTTTTTGCTACCGGTCGCTCGTCTGAGCCAAAATAGCTTCCGACTACGGACAGACGCAGCAGCCGCTCTCGTCAGACTCACGCGATCCAACCACTAAACCTCATGGTCCTTACGCAAATTCTGCCTTATCTATCGTGTGAGAAACTAGCGCCGACCATTATACTCGTTGCCTGCCAGAATAGACCGACGAGTGTTAAGAAATCGCGATGAGCTCGCAGTGAGGCATTGTTTATCAGTGGGACGTTCTTCAAAGTCACAAGCAACTTTACTAGCCGTTGCCTTGGTGTCTTGTAATTGTACCCGATACTCGCTTACACATTCTGGGAGTTCAACAGCTAGCTTTCAGTCTAGATCGGTTTGGTATTCAGTTGCAATACTAGGTGCCACCAGTTTTCTCACGTCAACCCATTTAAAACGACTTATTTGCTGACCACCAGAAAGTGAAATGATCTTGGTACAACAAGGCGTGATTAGAATTCAAACAGGGGCTCCAGACAGGGCAGTAGTCCTATGTGGATGCACATCATCGGCAGCTGACTGTCATATGATCTATTGGAGTTCAGGCTTTAGTAGCACCGGAAGGACGTCAGGTGGCACAACGGTGATGACTGTTCTGGAAATTGTTGTTGACTAAAAGCAGGTTGTGATCTCCTTACAGTTGTAGGAAGCGTTCCATATTGTCTGAACTGCAACTAACAAATCCCCACTAACCATCTAAACGACACTCCAATGGTCCTAGACGTCTGTCTAACTTGTGCATTCAGGCAATACGATATCTGTCGGACATATCATGCATGTCTTGATCTAGCTATTCTGAGGGGAAAATAGAGCGAAAACAACTATTTTAGGAGCATAGCATGTATTCTTTTTATTTCGGAGTTTCCACTATTAGGTTATACAAAATACTTGCGTCCTTGAATCAATTTGATGGAAAATTACCAAGATGAAGAAAAGAGAACATTGATATAAGATAATTGAAGGCACACAAATTGAGTGAACAAATATAGAAAAGATAATAAGTTTTTTCTGTATGGAACGAATATTCTGGATTGAAGCCAGGCAAAAAGGTGGAAGACAAACATGTTTTATGTACTGAGAAAGGTTACATCAAACAAACGTTTAAAAAGGTCAGAGGATTTACGTTAGCTGGGAAAATAAAGATCAGTATAATTCAACCAGTTAGTTCAGTGGAATGAAGGGAATGACATTATAGATGTATGAGGGTTCCCGATAAAATGGATCCCTGTTATTCTGCCAAAAGAGTTGTTCCTGCTCTGCGTAAATTTATTAAACGGAGTTGTATGAAACCTCTTAAGAAACATATTCTCAGGGCATTATACTACATGTAATATAGGAAACTGAACCAAAGTATGGAGTGGCTCAGTAAGTCAAATACATATTCTATCCATCCTAGTCAATACAGATTTATAATTTTATTAGGTGAACCTTAGTCCATTTACTTAACACAATGTTCAACCTCAAAACCGTTCACCAACTGATGTAACAGTTTCTAAGATTTGCCACTACGACGTAACTTTGAGGTGTTAATCATCCTTACATATAACGATATAAGTGGTGTCAGCAAATCGATTTTAAGAGTTGAAATACTCACTGTTTTATACGTTCTATAATGATGGATAGTGGCTATCAGTGGAATCCAGGAGGCACGTTTCATCTTACTTGGGACCTCTCAACTGGATATACCTGCCTTCCAGTGAGTGATATTGTTTCCATTTGTTTAGTGCACTAGTCAATATAATCAAAATATGTGAAATTACTAAAAAAAAGTTCAAGGTTATCTTATGTTTTACTACTGAAATATGTCTTTCTTAAATCTTGAATCTATAGCTACCAAAATATAACGTAAAATTTATAGGTGACCAATCGACAAGAAAAACCTAAATGCATCAAATTGAGGATATAGTTGGCAAGTTACAGAGGTGATTATACAGTTCTTGGAGTAGTGAGATGCACTAACAACCTTTTCAAGTATAAAAAATTTACCAAAAAATCGAAAATTTAAACGTGTACATAATACGCATTCAGTATCTGCACAAATAAGTCAGTTTGCCCACTCAAAGCTGCATAAATTGAGAAAAATTGACAGACTGAGAAAAAAATAAATGTCAAAAATTTAGTAATTTGGATCAAAACATGAGATTAATATATCGCCAACTGACCTTCACTATTACGACTAGACATATTGCTCAGAAGTTTTGGATCACCAGAAGCAGTACGCCGATGTGTCGGAGAGATACGAGGGAGTACGGTTTTATTCGATGAGCAAGAAGTTGATCGAATATGCGCAAGTGTATTGACAGTCTTGTATTTTCTATGAGGAATTCAGAGCGAAATAGAATTTTATCAGTAAAAAAGAGAAGTCGATTTAGGCATGGGTTGGTAAAGTCCAATGTAACTATCGAATCGAAATGCGCTCAGCAACCTTGTGCACGTTCATGCAGTGGGAAATGAGCCTGGCTGCCCAAACCTCGGTAAATGGAGCGGTGTTTGAACCCGTGACCTATTGCTGGGAAGTTATCTTCCTAAACCAACGGACCACAGCAACTATCGGCCAGTTTAGGTCATTGGTGGTGAAATCATCTAACATTGAATGAAGTAAAGAATTCTGGTGACTGAGTTTTACTATATCTAAGCAAAAAAATGTAATGACCTATAAAAACCATTTCAAAAAACTTAGTAATGACAACCATGTAACTCAAATAATAAAAATAGCGATTATGTTTCATCGATTAGAGAACAACCCCGAATGAGTTAATGAATAACGGTATTTGTTAGTGCACGACAATATCGAGTCTGGAGCGTCGATATAACCAGGTAATGTGATTAAACTAGAACTACTGTTGCACTACATTCTTTACCATATACCTGGACTGATGATTCAGAAATGTCTGGCAATGAGTAAGCATACTTGTGATGGTAATGCAAAATAATTCGTTTTATGCATTTATTAACACTTCAAAACAATAATATTTTGCGTTATTGCAAAATGTGTCAAGCAGCAAGTAAAGCAACAAAAGATGGTTTGCAAAATATACCGTATATTAAATCAGAGAAACAACAAACAAGCAATAGATAACTTCAAGTCAGGGCCTCCGAAATCCTGATGTCTACGGCGCGAATCCTAATGTGGGTGCATCTATTGACGAGGGATATACAGTAACCCAAACTCAGTGGTGATAGCATATTATCATATGAATCGGCAACATAATCAACCACAAAACCACAAAGCAAGATTGACAGTGAATTCTGAGTTAAGTTAAATACATAGTTGGCATATGCGATGTTAAATGACAACTAAGCTATGCATAAAAAGACTAAATCAAAATAAATCTACATGAATCCATATGGTCTGAATAACCATCCGCAATCAGCGAATTTGAAATGTAACTCGGCAACAATGCACACTTTCGTACATCCATTATATTAGGGAAAAAGCAAAGCAAGTTATCATCACAGTACAAAAAACCACGTTACTATGCAGATTCGAAGGAAAAGTTGTACTATTGGCTGGAGCAGGTGCTTCAACAGTGAGGAGTTTCCCATAGATGACCCACCAGTATGGTGCTGATACAGCCTTCCCTATAAAAATGTGTGGATTTGTAGCTCGCTGGTTTAAGATGACTTTCAAACAATGAGTCACGGGTTTGAAACCCGCACCACCTAACGAGGTCTGGCATACAGGTAGTATCACTTACTAAGCATTTAACTGAATGTGACAGCGATTCTCATCCTGAAGACGCTTGACAGGATGTTCAGTGTGCTGTGGAAACAGTGACAAAGACACATCCAAAGGTTAACAAAAAACTAGTGGGTTTTCACAATCTCATTCTCACTGATTCATGGAGAAGATAGACTCCAGCTGGCTCTACCCACAATGAGAGGCGAAAGTAGCTGAAATGCAAATTGATCAGGAGTTTTGGTTGTATTGTGTTCTCTGAGCTAAGTGGTCTTCTCAATGACTGTGAGCAGTGGTGGGTGTCGAAAGTGAAAGCGATGGAGAAGGTATCAGCACTGAGAAACACTTGGCAGTTATTCAGGTTTATTGAGGATACTAGTAGGAAGAAGATAATAGTCTGTGAAACCATCACTGAAAACGATGTGACCCTGGTAACCTAACACGGCAGGCGGTTGGTGCGTTGGGTGGGACAATTCAAAGACTAGCTCAACTGGCCTACAACTCCATTTCACTTGCCCAGCATTCAGCTCAGACTTCAATGGAACGTCGATGTTGGTACTCCAACTGTCAGCAAAGTGGACAAAACTGTTTCTAACCTGGAACAATACAAAACAACAGCACCTCACAGTTTTTCCACAACAAGTGTCTAACAAGGGAAGTAAGAAATTATTGAGTAGAGTAACCGATGTATCAGATACTGCATGTCAACCAGAGGTAGTCCCACCCATACTGGTCTACTTCACTGATCATTCCAGTTTGTAGGAAAGAAGAGAAGTCTTCTTGTGACCGTTCTACGGGAATCAATTTGAATAATATCGTGTTCAAGATCCCAAGGCTCACCAGTAATGGGCTCAGGAATAACAAAATGTCTGTTTGACATTTGTAAACCTAAGTCACCTCCGACACCAGAGAGATATCCAATGCCTGTTAAAAGACAAATGTACTGCGTAGCCATTCGCTCTGCCTTATTATACGACTGAGACATGACCTTTAAAAGTAGAAGATATGAAGAGATTGCAGGTTTCCGAACACATGCGTCTTCGTAGCCATTTCCCCGTATGATGGATCACCGTGTGAACAATGTGGGGGTTAGGCGAAGGAGACTAGTCAAGGAAAGCAATTCAGTCGACGACGTTATGTATATTACACGACTAACGTGGCTTGCAGACTTGTTATGCAACGTCAGTCGAAGTAGGACTGGATTGAAAAAAGACTCAGAGTCACCAGACTAGAACGTGACATCAGTGTGTGAAATTTCGGACTGTCGGTCTAAAGCGTGTGGGGAGATGTAGACTGCTTGACTGAGATCCTTGAAACAACAGGGACTAATGTTTGTCGATGTTTGATATCGTAGAAAGTCAGTCACAATGTCGGAGACAATTCATGGTTTGACGTCTTAGAATGCTTGGAAAATCTCACCTATCTTGATATTTAAATTTTATTTCCATCCATAGAACTTTGTCTACTTTGATATCACTCTTTTTCTTCTCACTTGTTCTGCTGTGAAATGTGGCAACCTAATGTGTGTGAGGTTCTAGGCTCTTTTCGTGTCTGGCTTATTTAGTTTCACTATAGCTACATGAGCAAGTAGATCCAAAGATCACCATGCTGCACAGACTTTCACCCACAAAATTCGCAATAAAATAACATTTTACGAAGGTGAACAGGATTTTAAATGGCGTGTTTTGCAGTTACAGCTGTATTTTGAATGAAGCAAATAACCTACCACTCAAATAAGATTGTGCAGTTCATCTATCCAGGATATGAGGATAATAGAATCGCTTACTTCTATTACTTAAGATTTCTAAGGAGGTAAGAAGAGATGGTGTGTGATGCATCTAATTTGCTTGTCACACTAAGTACTTACTTTAAGTAGGCTACATCAGTTGGAAGTACACTTGCATCAGTCAATGAACTGTCAAAGTTTAAAACGCTAGGATATGCAGGCGGAAGATGTGGTGAAAATGATAATGAAGAATGCGAGCCTGCAGAATCCATTGATCTTAATGTCATCAGAGGAGTATTTGGTGTACTAGCAATAAGTCTTGAGTTACTGTACATCACCGATTCATTGCTTGAACTAGGTCTGGATGATATGTGAACAGAAGTTTCCAGATTACAGGAATCACTGTTTATTATTTTTATAGATGCGTCTCGATGCATAGATAACGAAGATGTAGGCGAAGAGGAAAATAAGCCAGACACACTAACAATAGATTGGGATTCCGGAGGAGAAGTTGATGTAGGCGAAGAAACAGATGTTTGGTCAGAGGTAATTTCTTGGGTAACAGCCAGAGGTTCAGTAGAAAGTGGACCAGTTAACGGTAATCGACGTTTTGGATTTCGTGCAAATATGTATGCACCTCGTGTCTGTGATAAACTTCCAGCTGGTGGTATCTGATTGACCATTAGACGATGTCGTCGCCCAGCTCCGGGAAACCCTATGAAATCATTGGAATGAGTAGGTCGTTTCCGTAAACGCAGACTAATGTGTTGTGCAGAATGTCTCATCAGGTCGGCAACCCGATAGTGAAGCCAACCGATCTAACCGAAAACAAAGAGAAGAAAATGACAATTCAAGTTTAATTAAAGCAAGCAGCATGTGAAAAATGGAAAAATATCGCTTAAGGAAACCGGTGAAATCTAACTTGAAGTAAATATTATTATGACATATCGGAAAATTTAGTTCGAAATACCTAAATATTACACTCATGTTTCGTCACAAACTTATTAAACCGGTACAAACACTCTAACTTTGTTTTCCTTCTCATCAAAGACTGACTACTCAAGTAATCATTCGATCGACAAATAAAATTGAGTGAAACTGTTTTTAACGGGGCATCGGAAATAAACCTTAATAGGTATAGAGTAGCACATAAAAGCAGTAGAACTTTCTCTTTGGAAACTGTACAAAAGTCAGTCCTTCCCCCCCCCGCCCCCAATTTATCGCTGGTACTAATAACGGCTGAGCATTTTATAGTACTGATCTAAAACGTTGCATTAAACTAGTCAACAAAATTTATTTCCTACTACTTAATCAGTTGATTCATAATAACTGCTTAGAGGAAAACATTGCTGATATAAGGTCTGTTTCGCCATATCACATGAATAAACTTAGGGTTCATAATGACCACTATCAATGATTTCTAGCGTAAGTGAAAAAAACGAGGTATCAAGACTAGAAGTTACTTAAGTATATTAAACAAATGACACGAACGATACTGTTGAGATTGTCGAATACAATTAATTAGGGACGCGTAATTCAGTTACTGGACGAACGATTTGATACTTGACAACTGGTCCAGCTGACACAAAAAGACAATGCTGTACTGAAGCGAGTTTACTATAATCGAAGTATGAAGGTACAAATCAGGGGTGCAGATCTTGCGTTTACATACAATGCATGTGCTCTTCAGGCGAATAAACAAAACAGCATATTAAAGGTGAGACATTAACCAATATGAAAACAGCGTTCTCAAAAGCGGAAAACTTGGGCGACACACGTGGGGCAGAAAAGGGTGTAAAAACGATCGTTTCAAATTTCTCATAGGATAAATTTGGGGATGTAACATCCTCCAAAAAGGTGACGATCAATAAGATATATGTATACAAAATACAGATTTCTGAATGGTTTGAGTGAAAATCTGAGTTTGCTCCTCTAGTTAAACGGTTGTTCGAAACGTAGACGACCGTCATCTTAACATTATTGGACTTATAAGAAAACATTCAATCGAAAAGCACAGGCTAAACTCAACTTGGACAGAGTCACTAATTATGCACATCGCACAGATTTGACATGATTAATAATAATAATAATAATCAATGACATAACTGAAAGTATAGGTTGGTTGGATGAACGAATCTACAAAGAATCCAACTCGATTTTAGCTACCATAACAGTTGATGAAAACGAAGTAAGTTTACTGAAAGCATATCCTGAAAAAATGTCACGTGTGAAGCCATTACAAATGCTTGAAACACCCATCCTATTCGGTAAAGGCAGCAAATATTTGAAGTCTTAGTGATCACTCGGAGGCTTCAAATCCACGATGTCATACCTAAAATCTCAAACTATGAAAAAGAAAAATTCAGTACTGATGACGAAAGACCAAAAGTGTAGTGAGGAAGGGGATGAGTAATGGTTACCTCCTAGTTTTCAACGATAAACAAGCCAGTATCTATTAAGTACTGGTAAGACGACATGAAATAAAGCTAATGTTCAGGGGAGCCTGGAAACCTAATGAAAATCTGTTTGAGGTCAATCATATAGGATCGTTGTACAAGCTGTTTCTTGCAATTCTGACATTTTGTTAGGAAATCTACCATCAAAACTGTGTGAAAAAGGTGAAATGCACAACTTGCTAGCATGACAAACAGGTTGCAGGTCTGGTCAACACTTGAAATTAGCAGTCAGCCATTACGTCAGAAAGTATGCTGGACTTTCAACGTTGTAAAATCCCATGAACTGAAACGCAATTTGAGCACAAAGTACAAACAATAATTTTTAAAAGTACGTGTCACAGACTTACAACTATTTGTTCATTAACTTCAATTACTTCATCTCCTTTATTAACTTTTCCTGTACAAAATGCTGGAGACTTTGAAAGTAAGGCAAATAAAAAAAGGCATTTAAGTAGGGGTTTTGAAAAGTTCAGAATTCAGTTGAAAATAGCTGATAAAAAACACAATTGAATGACATTTTGTATGAATACTCACTAACAGAAAAAATTAATTTATAAAGAAACTTGTATGAAAACAAGAGTTATACTAGCGATACATTCCACTTCAAGAACAGCGACGACAATAGTGAATTTTCGTTTTATGCTTCTATATATAGCATCAAGATCTAGCACAACGTAGGCACCAAAGGATCCACTACACAAAAGCAACGCATTATGAAGGCTTAGCAGCAACAGCAGATCACTGCTCGTTAAGACTGAAAATATGACAAATAATGGTTTTATTTGACTTCTGGGAAGTTTACTTAACTAAACATTGAAGGATCGTTGTTACGTCTGAGTGTTGGTCATATTTAATTCTTGTGGACCATAACAAGAATGATGAATCAAACAATCACAACTAATTACTGATGAGTAACACCCAACAATACAGTGAATCTTTCTTAGTTTCCTCCATTTAATTGCTGCTCTAAATGAAGGATTTTCGACTGATAACGTAAGATGTCCAGATGACCACAGTTTGTGAATAGTAAGATTACCCCATAGAATGAACGATTTCGCCTACGTCGAAGCGCAATGTTAGAAATCAGACATATTCGCATAGCGACTCTCGTTGGATTCGATTGATTCCCGTAAACGGATGTGGTTACACAGAGTTTAAAAGGTCCCAGTCGCATAAGTGCACAGTAGACGAGCGTACACAGAAAACAGGCAATCACAGACAATCACGAATGAGAGTGTATGGCGTCAAATTACTGCAGTTCTCAAAAGTACGAAAAGAGGAAATCAGCCCACTGAACGGTTGTACACAGGGTTTAATTAAGCATATGGCATTCTGAATCGCGCTAAAAATGACCACATTTTTCACAAATATCTTTATAAACAGACTTTTCGAATATTTTCAGTATGAACAATGGCGTTAACAATCTGGACGAAATCCCATTTGAAAGCCAATTTATCACATATTTTGTGCATTGATTAGTGCACTTAACTTTCAAGCAATAGGTTACAGGTTGATACCTAGCTCTACCAAATACATCTCAAGCGGCTAGGTTGCATCATACAACATTGTTGTCACATTTTGTACCTCATAGTCTAGTACATGCACAATAGTAAAGGGCTAAATTGCACCACTTTTATTTATTACTTCCATGACTTCCATCATTCTCCAATCTATTGGTCAATAGTTTCTGGGGCAAAATCTCTTCTATGTTGTGGGTCCCAGTCTTTTTATCTATAACAATCTTGCTTTGCTCAAATCTTGTCAAAAAAAACCCTTTCAAAACACCGACTCTCTTCTAGAAGACTTGAAACTCCCCTATCATTTATATATGATATGTCTTAAGAACATGCTTTCTCTTCTCTATTGATCAATAAGTCTGACTACATTTCCTTTCTGCTGTATAGGGGCAAAACTATAAGGTACTTTATTGTCTATTTGGTGTGGGTTTTTGAAGAGAAACATGAACTACATTGCAGAAGGACGATCATTACTAACATGAACCAGAACATTGTCATGAGGGATGGAACCCCCAGGATACATATATAGGTTGTCTTGTGACCTTCGTATTATCTCTGGTTGACAATTCTTTAACTGATGAGTTTACAATTGTTATGTTCTTCTCATATTTGCATTAGTCAAATCTAATCTCATGATAGGACACACATAAATACACTCAGTAGTTACATTTCCATATCTACTTGGTTCTGTCTTGAGGACAGTTACCACTTGAGTGCAATGAATCAATAATTATCAATTCAATGGGCGAAAAAATACCTGACCACCGCAACCATGTTCATTTAACGAGAGAGTAAAGCATTAAAAAAACTTAAATATGACAAGAATGTGAAGTAGTTTCTTTTTTTCTCATATCAAGAGGGCTGCGATAACCCCAGGATACTGTAACATAAGGCGACTGGTACCAACTCTTCAACCTGAAAGTTTTATTCATAATGTAGCAGAGCAACGTCATGAAAAGCATCTTTATGTATGTATGAATTCATGTACTTAACTGTAAGCCAGCTTTCGTATGAAGTTTAGTAATGCTACTTCGGTGTAAAAACTCCGTTTGATAAGTGGGGTGGGGTTCTATCCTGTCATACCTTCCGTTGAAGGTCAAACATTTGAACTAACGGGCTACAATCTCGTATATACAGTTTTCAGTCAACCTGTAAATGAAATATGCCTTCAGTACCTGACCGTCTAGCTGATACGTTAACAGAGGTATTATTCTAGTCTCTAGAATGGAAACAAGTACACGACGAAGAAATGCTTCAGCTATTTTGAAGATACACAGTATCACCCCAAGCGGGAGAGGACTTTCAGATAAAGAAGGTCTATTTACTAATATAATGCTTTCCTACAATGTTATCACCTTATCAGTAATGCTAATAAATGCATTTCACATCAGATACTAGACAATTTTCCCTAACAAAAAACATTTGTGTGAACCTATCCATCCACTGAAAAACAGTCAAACACGGACTGTATGACTACATGGAAAGATTATAAACTAGGAAAGGATTCAGGGAAATTATGACAAACAATAGTTAGTAACCGCAGTTCATAAATGTTTACCTGCTACATAGAGAACTAAAGCGCTGTCAAAGTCAGTTATATTTGTCTAAAAAGTGTCACGTATACATTGACATCTCTGATTTGTCTGCATCCCTCAGAAATTGACCATATACAGTTAATTATGGCTTTAGTTTACTCTTTAAACAAATTTTGACGTTTTGCTATTTTGCTACTTCACACAACTCCAACCATTATATATTAATGAAAGCTTTTTGTATTTTTCGAATGAACAAGGACATGCTTTCCGATTTGAAGAACATGACTGAAAAGAGCTAAAATGAAACAAGGAGAGCTCGAAGTAGCCTTTATCAACGCAGTCGAAAGATAATATTTTAAGTATGCTAATTTTTTATACGTCACTTGATTTTAGATAGTTAGGAGAAATTACCAACGTAAAAGCAGATTATCTTTTCTCACAAAGCCATATTGGGTGTAGGAAGTGAAGTATTTAACTTCATTATCATGATACTTCTTTATGTCGATAAAATTCAGAGACTTTTGTCTCAAACCAACTTCGGCCTTGCGAAGTAAAATTCAGGTTAGTTCAAAAAATAGAAATGAGTTGAATTCAAGGATTTAAAAATCACTCCTAGTCTCGGTTCACTAAGTGATTCCACTATTGATTTTACAAATGCCAGCAAGTCTGAACATTTGAAATATTTTAGAAGTTTATATCTGGCACGTAATCAAAATATAAAACCTGGGTTGTATTGATTGCTTTCACGATGAAATAGGCTGCATGTTCTGTGAAGAAAACAAGTGAACTGCCTATCAAGATACATATCAAGAGATGTACATTTATGACATAAAAGTGCAGAGGTTAGGCAAAAAAGAGGTAAGTCAATCAATAAAGTTTTCAAACTTCATCAATTCAAATGGCTGAAGCGCATGGTGTGTTCTGCCTCTTGCACAATATTACTTGAAGTAGGTTGAGTCAGGAAGAGATTGGAGACAGCTAGACCAAAATGTGGCACCAGTTTACGAAACCTCCAAGCCATTTACGAGAATGCAGACATACCGGTTGGGGTTTGCACAACAGCAAAAATTAGTGGTAAGAGACTCTAAATGATATGGTATGAAACGATGGCAACAGTGTAAATGTATCTACACATTATCTTCATCCTAATCGTCATACTAAATTCCAGCATTGTCTTGTTCTTCATTGCTCTATTTTGATGAAATCCTGCCACTTTTGACTAATTTCCTCATTATTTCTCCATCTTACATTTTCGTGTCTTTTACCTTGATGTGTTGATGTGAGATGCGGCAATGATTACGCAGCAAAAAAAAGTCCCATATTTATACTAGGTAAACGAGTAACTAAAAAATAGTCAACGAAAATGAATTAGTACGGACGTAACCAAAAGATCAAACCGAATAGTTTAATCATACTTTAGACTAAACGCAACTGAGAATGTATGGCTGAACACTGATTTACATATAATGTGACCTACCTCATCTTGAACCGAAACAATTACGTGAATGTTGTTTATTGTGGATCGAAAATTGAAGCCCTAAAAGAAAAATATGCGAAGATTCCTTAAAGTCTATCTCCAAGCAAACAGCACTGGGAAAGAGTATAGGTGGTTACGGGCATAAAACACAAGGTACTTCACTTAACCAAATTATCTCGGTTTCTAGGTAACAAATGCTGCTGGTGAAGTGTGACTCACTGATTCGAATATACAATAATAAGTCATTTTTAGTAATTAAGCGACCAAAAAAACAAAGTTACGTGAGACCTCCATATCATGCTTTTTATTTACGTCCAATAAAAATCTCTTCTAATAGTAAAGATGTGTGCAGAGAAGCGTTCGCAGTGCTTTATAAAATGCACACGAATAAATAGGTGATATTTTGGTCGTTATCAATAAAACAACTATGCCATACACGTACGTGTTTCGTGACAGTTCTGACACAAATAAAGCACTGAAGACGCAAGTGGAAAATGATTTAGTGAAGTAAGCATCTGATTTTAAATTACAAGAAATGGAAGAGGGAAAATAAACAAAAACAGAAATGTATGATTAAGGAAGCAATCTGAAAGATACCTTGAAAGGAGCATTTAATACTCTCCTCTTACTTTTAGTAATACAGAAAACGATCAGACTACTCAATGCTCGTCACTGTTTTCGATCTTTAGCCATGTTTGTTCTCGCTGTAAGCCACATTGTTATATAATGCCTGGCATCCAGTCCAGGAAATGGCTAGGCCCTTACACACGCTGACCTAACGTAAATATCCAGAAGTTCACGATGCCACGTCAAATGCCAGTCATCTTCCCACGTGTTTCAATCACACCAACACGTAATACACTCATCAATTAAGAGCAAGCGTTACATCAAGACGGTAACAAAAGTGACCCACGTTGCGATGGCATACTAGCTTCCGACAAGTAGCTGGAATTTGCACCGGGCACACCTCCGTCGACAATCATAAAACTACTTAGACACACGGTTTTCCACAACTTCCAGTGAATCACCATTAAGGACAAGTGTGGGTATAGGCTCACAACAATAATGCAGAACCACTCTGAACTTTAAAAACAGTGCGAAGCACATACCATAACTGAGGACACTGATCGTTAACTAATTGAGTACAATTTCAGTAGCCTGTATGTCAACACCGTAAAACGACATCCTCCGCATTCTCAAGGTAGAAACGTCTTTCACCTGATAACAGGTTTACACCGCCACCGCCACCACCACAAACCTCCTGTGGAGCTGTTTCAAGCCTATAATCGATGGCAAAGTTAAAGAGAAATGAAGAAATCTCACAGCCACGTCTGACCACAATGGTGGGAGGTGGCTGTTTGTCTTCATTCTACCCGCAGTGCCTAAGTATAGAGCTTTCAATATGTTAACAAACGTCTCATGGAAACCAGTCTCTAATAGACAGTGCCAGAGTACAGCTAGCCGTCTAACAAGTCTAAAACAGTCATAATATCAAGAAACGCAACAATCGTTGACCTTTAATGTGTGCGACGGTGTTTGACCACCTGGTGGATGGGAGAGTGTACACGTGATCAACGAACACATGACACGAATGAAACCTGACTTTCTTGTGGATGATCAATTTTTCAGGTATTCTATACAGCCTGTCAAGTGTAATTGCAGGTAATACTTGAAACACTACCGCTAGCCAACCCCTACTTCACATACGTTACGTAGACAGTTTTTAAGGATGAGTAGAACAATATATTCATTTCAGATAGACGGCTTCTCCAAGTGTTGCTTCCGCTTAACGTTCTAGGAGTCCATGGAAGTCTGTGATCGGCGTACCACCTACTTAATAGATCGTCTCTCTCACTGACATCAGGCTTTTGCTACCGGTCGCTCGTCTGAGCCAAAATAGCTTCCGACTACGGACAGACGCAGCAGCCGCTCTCGTCAGACTCACGCGATCCAACCACTAAACCTCATGGTCCTTACGCAAATTCTGCCTTATCTATCGTGTGAGAAACTAGCGCCGACCATTATACTCGTTGCCTGCCAGAATAGACCGACGAGTGTTAAGAAATCGCGATGAGCTCGCAGTGAGGCATTGTTTATCAGTGGGACGTTCTTCAAAGTCACAAGCAACTTTACTAGCCGTTGCCTTGGTGTCTTGTAATTGTACCCGATACTCGCTTACACATTCTGGGAGTTCAACAGCTAGCTTTCAGTCTAGATCGGTTTGGTATTCAGTTGCAATACTAGGTGCCACCAGTTTTCTCACGTCAACCCATTTAAAACGACTTATTTGCTGACCACCAGAAAGTGAAATGATCTTGGTACAACAAGGCGTGATTAGAATTCAAACAGGGGCTCCAGACAGGGCAGTAGTCCTATGTGGATGCACATCATCGGCAGCTGACTGTCATATGATCTATTGGAGTTCAGGCTTTAGTAGCACCGGAAGGACGTCAGGTGGCACAACGGTGATGACTGTCAAGAAACGCCACAATCGATGACATTCAATGTGTGCCTATACTAGTTAGTGATCAGAGTCTAAATAGTCACTCGAGAAAAAGCGGCAACCCTCAACCGGTCCTCTCCAACAGTGGCTTACAGCAATATGATCTACCTGTGTCCATCGTTGTTTTGATGTCGGTGGACGCCATGTGAGGCGTGTCTGCTAATGCTTGAGGTTAGAACTGTGGAGAAAGAAGTGATTGTCAGAAGCAAATTGCAAGAGACGATCACTGTTATCAGTTCTTTAGCATGGGATTCTGTAGATACCAATGGAATGTCTTACGGTCTGGTAAAATTTCCCACTTGAGTATTCAATTCAGCAGCTATTGACTCTATGTGAACCTTTCGCCTTATGTAGCTAATTTGACAGTCCCTCGCCTAATTCATCCTTTGTATCAATCGAACTGCGTCTGGTGGACATGTAGACGGAGATTTTGAATAGGCGTCGTCGAGTGTGACGACCCCTTCTCATTCATACAGATCCATTCAGTTGAATAGATGACTGTTGACTAGCGCACTTAATTCAGTGAGTCAACGACAGCTGAGTCATTGAATCTTCTTGAACACCGGATACTGAATTTCACACCGATGAAGTGATTAGGCACACTTGGTTGCTATCTGCGTGTTTCAGTCTTGGAGTACATCCATATGCCGAGATTTCGGAGGTTTGCTGAGGAACGCTTGTTGTATGATTCGATATGGGTTCGAACGCTGAAAGCTCCAATGTTTAATCAAGGCCGGGGTTTATAGAGGCGAGGTATGATGTATCGCTTGTTTGGATTGTTGCAATGGTTCCAGAATTTGTAGGGGGCATTGTTTTCAGGAAGTGAAGGAGACGGAGAGTACGGAGGTGATGGTGGTTGGTTAAGTGGATGTCGCATTCTCCTGATAGCTTCCAGGTGGTTGGTACTTCACTGCTGTTCTTACCATAGAAATTGTTTCTGCGTGATACCTGCAAGAGACCCGACCGATTGCTGCTACATGGATATGGTGGTCGGGCTTGCATATCACAATGACCCAAAGAGCTACACCGACTAGAACGCTTGTTCTCTCGAGGTACTACCATCCCTAGGTTTGTTGGATGGTGGTAGGACGGGAAGTAGTTAGCGTTGTAGTGTAAATTACTACACTCTGATATGGGTCTGAGGGTGAAGTCGTCCTACTTCTAGCTGGATGGAGTAACAGCAGCAAGGTGTTACAGTTTAATGACCAGTAGTGAGAAGTTGATGCTGACTTCAAAATGGGAACGTGGAATCAGGAAAGGTCGGTCTTGAAGATAATACTCTACCAGTCGCCACAGGCTGATGCTTGCAACAGAGATTCAAAATCGAATCCTAAAGCAAAAAAACAAAACCTAAAACTTGCCAGAATTCCGTGTGTGACAGGCCTCAAGCAGACGTCCAACGGGCTCTGCCGTCACACATTATCTCTTTTCTGTCATGTGCTTCAAGAAGAACTAGCCTTCCACGGTGATGGCAGCCGGGAAGTTTTAACCACCTGAACCCATCCGGTAGTACACAAGACCCAACCAACCATAACATATTTTCTTAAATCCTGTCTCCTCCCTTGCCTTCACCTCCTCATACTAATACTAGGCATATTACGTTTCAATTAAATTCTCACTCTGCAACTATTGCCAATGATTAAAGCCATTGAAAACTCATTCCTAGTCTCCTAAAGCGCCGTCAACAACATCATGTCGCAGCTTTCAACGTCCGCGAACTGTATACCAAATTGGACAGCCAATATTGCTCGCCAAAACTCCCGACTTCTAGCCGTCGATAAACACTAGTCACTGTTGTCTCGAGGATCTCAGTCAAGCAGTCTACATCTCCCCACACGCTTTAGACCGACAGTCCGAAATTTCACACACTGATGTCACGTTCTAGTCTGGTGACTCTGAGTCTTTTTTCAATCCAGTCCTACTTCGACTGACGTTGCATAACAAGTCTGCAAGCCACGTTAGTCGTGTAATATACATAACGTCGTCGACTGAATTGCTTTCCTTGACTAGTCTCCTTCGCCTAACCCCCACATTGTTCACACGGTGATCCATCATACGGGGGAAATGGCTACGAAGACGCATGTGTTCGGAAACCTGCAATCTCTTCATATCTTCTACTTTTAAAGGTCATGTCTCAGTCGTATAATAAGGCAGAGCGAATGGCTACGCAGTACATTTGTCTTTTAACAGGCATTGGATATCTCTCTGGTGTCGGAGGTGACTTAGGTTTACAAATGTCAAACAGACATTTTGTTATTCCTGAGCCCATTACTGGTGAGCCTTGGGATCTTGAACACGATATTATTCAAATTGATTCCCGTAGAACGGTCACAAGAAGACCTCTCTTCTTTCCTACAAACTGGAATGATCAGTGAAGTAGACCAGTATGGGTGGGACTACCTCTGGTTGACATGCAGTATCCGATACATCGGTTACTCTACTCAATAATTTCTTACTTCCCTTGTTAGACACTTGTTGTGGAAAAACTGTGAGGTGCTGTTGTTTTGTATTGTTCCAGGTTAGAAACAGTTTTGTCCACTTTGCTGACAGTTGGAGTACCAACATCGACGTTCCATTGAAGTCTGAGCTGAATGCTGGGCAAGTGAAATGGAGTTGTAGGCCAGTTGAGCTAGTCTTTGAATTGTCCCACCCAACGCACCAACCGCCTGCCGTGTTAGGTTACCAGGGTCACATCGTTTTCAGTGATGGTTTCACAGACTATTATCTTCTTCCTACTAGTATCCTCAATAAACCTGAATAACTGCCAAGTGTTTCTCAGTGCTGATACCTTCTCCATCGCTTTCACTTTCGACACCCACCACTGCTCACAGTCATTGAGAAGACCACTTAGCTCAGAGAACACAATACAACCAAAACTCCTGATCAATTTGCATTTCAGCTACTTTCGCCTCTCATTGTGGGTAGAGCCAGCTGGAGTCTATCTTCTCCATGAATCAGTGAGAATGAGATTGTGAAAACCCACTAGTTTTTTGTTAACCTTTGGATGTGTCTTTGTCACTGTTTCCACAGCACACTGAACATCCTGTCAAGCGTCTTCAGGATGAGAATCGCTGTCACATTCATTTAAATGCATAGCTATCTCCGCCTTAAAAAATACACCTTTGAAGTTCTCATCTTTCAATTCAGCATGCACAGTATAGTGCTGACATACACGTGCCTATACTAGTGAGTGATCAGAGTCTAAATAGTCACTCGAGAAAAAGCGGCAACCCTCAACCGGTCCTCTCCAACAGTGGCTTACAGCAATATGATCTACCTGTGTCCATCGTTGTTTTGATGTCGGTGGACGCCATGTGAGGCGTGTCTGCTAATGCTTGAGGTTAGAACTGTGGAGAAAGAAGTGATTGTCAGAAGCAAATTGCAAGAGACGATCACTGTTGTCAGTTCTTTAGCATGAGATTCTGTAGATACCACTGGAATGTCTTACGGTCTGGTAAAATTTCCCTCTTGAGTGTTTTAACCGTCTGCTGTGCCTCAGAGAATACATGTGGTTCACTGCCTGCCACACGAACGTCCACAAGGCTACTGAGCGCATTTATTCTTTCATTTCATATTTGAACCTTTTGCTGTATGAAGTAAAATCGACAGGTTTTGGTAGAATTCATTCTGAACATCATTAGGACTGCATTTGGCAAACACTGGATGACTTTGAATAGGCATCGACGACCCTTAGTTGTCACTGATGCATTCAGTCGAACACTACACAGGTGGCTGTTGACTGGTATCTAGTCAGGTAGTGCATTGTCTACCTGACAACTTAATGCTACAAGGAGACCAGTGAGTTCACGAGAGCTAGCAATTAGGTCTTCGAAAATTCGCGAAGTGACATTGACTGGTCACTGGAGAGCAATCATTTTTATATTGTCTAGTCCTGAGGGCTGACTGAATTACACCGATCAATTTCCAATGTAGTTACCAAGGTAGGAAACTCATCATTGCGGTACACTTTGACAGACGTTAACTGGTATAAGGCGATTGGCAGCAAGCTCTGGACCTAGGTTTCATGCTTGATGGCGATCATTAGCAAGGCGTATCTGAAACTTCGGGAGTTGTGATGTCTACTGTGAGATTTGGACTGGCGTTATCCACTGATGCAGTAAGCGATATGAGGAAGCTTGCTGCCGGTTGGTACTTCTTGGCTGTCCACATTGTAGAAGTTGTTTTTGTGGGGTCCATAAAAGAGACAAAGCAATAGATTTGCCCGACTTCAAAGCCATGGGGGATCTGCTTGATTCTGGTCACACGGCCTTTTTAGGATTGCCGGTTTGAGATTTCATGGTCTTAACGCTGCATAAAAAACCTGTATTACAGGTACCGGTATGTAGCAGGTAAGAGGGATCGTTATTTTTCAGGCTGATCTTTTCCAAGCCACTTCTTCCCATAGGGAAGTCAACATTAGTATACCACTGCTGGTAATCTACGGGAAAACTTGCTTCTGCTACACTGCATCGAGGCCCTTAGGTTTCCTCCAACCCCATCCTACGTTGGATAACACTGCAGGATGAATTAGGAAATAGCCTGACTTGCAGAACACGTGATCAGTCCCCTAAGACGGTAGAGGTTCACGACCTCATCAACCTACTCGTCTTCTCTGACTAGTACACTACACCAAAACCTACAACCTCCTTAAGATAAGATTCTGCGTATAATACTCCTGAATCATCATTTTAAAATGAGCAGGTACCGAAATTTTTATTCACGGAGTTCGAAACACTGCACTTTGTTAGCATCGCCTAACAGGACTATGTCGTCTGCTCACTCCAAGCCAGTCCGGTCACTCCCAGGGGAATTAAGTCAACTTATGAGAAGTCTAAGACAGGTAAAGTGACTTGCATGATATCTTAAATAAAGTTGAGTGGGGATGGTGGAAACTGATATCTCTCAAGGAAAGCATTCTTGATCGTCACGCTAGATAACAACTCTGTAAAATTTTATAAGGCTGTTAGTTTAAGTGGTGTCTTTATTAGTCGTATGTATTTTTCGATACATCTGAACTGGCCACATATTACCAAGACACCTCTTGACCAATGAAATAAAATACTAACTCCATGTGGAAACATGTTAAGTGCTTGAGGTGGACAAGCATTTGTAAGCTATAAATCTTATCGAAGGAAGAATATCCAACTGATGCAACATCATCCAATTGTGAAACGTGTCTCGTTTTCTCGAGTTTGCTGCTCTGTTCAGTTAGGCGTCAGATAACTATGAACCCTAGGATTTTCCATGCATTATTGGTCAAAGTGATTTCCGTGTGGCTCCCAGAAGTGTTTCCCCTTTTCTTGTTAACTAATATAATCACCGACCCAAACCAGTCAGATGAACCAACCTCTGATTCTCATACGCTATCCCATACATTGGTCACGCTAACAAGTAACTAGCCACCTGCATACTGGAACTTTTGACAAACTGACAGGTCCTTCTACTCAGTACCATATCGAGTTTGAAACAACCTAGTCGGTTTTGGTGAACTGAAGGAGTCGATCAGTTGATAGCAACATGCAACCTGCCAATAGCGCCTTCAATACCAAGTTGCCACATCCCACATCAATACATCAAAATGAAAGACAAGAAGTAAGGAAGACAGTAATCGAAAGTACCAGAAGTCATAAAAAGAGAGAAAGCTGAGGGAATAAAAACAACTAAACTCGATATAACAAATAAGATAAGGGTAATGTGTGGATGCATCCCCACCACTGAGATCGATTATGAGCCATATCGCCTAGAGTCCCGAACCACCGGATTCAGTTGAGACGCAGACCTCAACCGGTATATCTACATTTTCATACACAGCTCGAATCGAAAGTCAGAGGTTTCATGGACTGATGTCACATTTTAGTCTAACCGTCTCTAATCTCCTCTTGATTCAACCTACTTTGAGTTATATTGTGCAAGAAACAGAAGTGCGTAATAAGTGTTCCAGCTATTTAAGTAGATGAAGGTTGACAATCTTATCGAATGGCTTAAGTCGTTTGCCTAAAGTTATACGCCTGAAGACTCACTGACATGATGGTTTTATGACTCACTGCCAGTTTTAAGGTGACGGTAGTCGGACATCTGAAGTCTTTTTATGTTCTCTACTTTTAGTGGCTACGATTGAGAACCACAGTAAAACAGAACGAACTCCTGCACAGTATAGTTAACCGTAAACGGGTAATAACTTATGCGATGGGATATCTTACCAGTGCCACAGATGGTGTAAGCTAGAAAGAGCCAATCGAAGTTTTCTTGTGTAGAGTTTACGTCGGTCATACCTACCAGGTTTGACCGGACTTACCGAAGTGAATGCGACCAACTACGTAATCCCTTCCTAATATTGGACAACCTACCAGCGCACACCAATGCAGCAGTCATCCTGGTATTGAAGAAAAGTTCAATAAGATTTGAATAATTTGTTTGTTAATTGTGACCAAAAACAATAAATACAGCAATGAAATAATAGCATATCAAGTAGTAAGGTTTCCAGGAATTAGTTGCATCGCCTAACAAATCTCTTTTTTCAATAACGGAAGGCAGCAGTAACTTGAATTCAGTTATTCTTACAAAACATTCTACTATTGTTGAACCTAATACACCCAGCACTATGACTTCGCCTTCAATACCTCACAACAGCGTTAGTTACCTAATTACGGAAGTGGCTTCTGGTCTCTTTACAGTTGGACAGATCTTTCTGACAGCTGATTCTGACTTGACTTTCACGTCGTTTTGGTAGCGGAACCTACTGGAGCATTCATCAACATTCTTATTGGGAATTCAAAAGGAAACCTGATAGTCAGTAACAAAACTTCCACAGTCAATATCTGGAACTCTGGTCCCTATTCTGATTTTAGAAAACTCAAAAATCAACTTCGGCCACTGTAATTTCACTTAGATCAGCCAATAAGGAAAGTTATTAAACTTGAAAGAGTAATAAGGACTCTAAATGTCTTTATCAACAAACTAAACCAAAATACTGTGATCAGCACTATAACTAAATTTGAAGGGAATATGACTGGGATCACACAAATTAAGTGCGACAAAGCTTCAAATCATGTAAGAATAAACTTACGAAATCAGCAGAATCCAGTTTCCTTATTTGTACGACTTCAATACCACATGGTGTTAACAAGATGGAATCTCCACAGTTCTGAAGAACGTCTTCAACACGACTCCTCATAGGTTCAATCTTCAAAAAACCTATTAGTTTGGCTTTTGGACTTACACAATCTACTATCTCCCTAAAATGTTCATTACATTGAGTAGTTATGGCTTGTTGAGCCAGTCTATTAGTAATTATAGCATTCTCAACCAGAAACTGTCGGAAAACCATCATGTCGGGCAGAAGACAGAAAGGAGGCCTACCTAAAAATAAATGAGTTTGAATCGAAAACTAACCGTTCTAGCCAAGATGCAGCACTAACAATCGTGGACATCAAGTTCAATATACAGCTAAGAATATACGAAACGGCCCCCTGAATATCTGATAGTATCCCAGGGTAGGGACTGTCAGCATCTTGTCTTTTAGTAATAGCCATTAGCGAGTTTATGGCAGTGACAATGCAGATGCAGGAACGTGAAACGCGTAGTAAAACTGACTGCAGTGTTTCGTTATCAAATGATGAAAACTGATATCGAAGTTGTCTGACTTTCTCCATTATAATCATTTGGTGGCCGACTTTCTGAACACCATATCTCCCCAAAACATCAGCTGTTAATGAACTCAACCACTTCCCACTTATATTTTTCGAACTAAACGCAGATAAGTAAGGTTCGAGAGCATCGTCCAGGCCTGAAAGTGAAAATAGTATAAGCAACAGACATACCAGAAAGCCAAGATATGACTTGAGCAGTTGACCAGCTAACGTAAGACTGTGGTTTCTCGAAACCATCCATTGCAAGGCTCAAGGTCACATGTTTGAAATAAGAGGACAAGGACAAATCCAATATAAACTTCATACTTCGTGTTGTAACCCAGTCGCCTTCTCTGTAGCTGTTTTCTGTACCCGTTCTAGGATGGCTATGCTCTTCCTCACGTGTGGACATATCACGAGTGAATTGTTCTCTAGATGAGGGCGAATGTACAGAGAACACACTGTGGTGAAAAGATGAGTTAGACCCCTTAAAGTTCGCAGGAGAAATCCCAAGACTCCATAAACCTTGTCGGCTCCAAGGTGACAGTGGACTGAAGCCCCTAGTTTGTCACTTAGTGCAACTCCCAGATTTTGTCCCATGCTAGAGTGACATATTTATTTCATCCACAGAGTAAGAAGTGGGACTGCTTTTATGTTTGTCGACTATCATTATCCAACTTCAATAGTGCCATCGTAGAAAACTGACCGAGTTTGTCTCTCGCTTCCAGTTCTTGTGGCTTGGTTCCATTTGTTCGATTTTCTCATGAATTGGGCGAAAAAATCTTCTGCTTTCTTGCTCTTAGCTTCGGCGAAGTGAATGTTTCTGTTGGTAATTGCAACTTGTAGAGTGATTAGTCAGCTACAATTTCCTGGTACGATTAGGGGTCTTTTCTGACTCCTGTCTGTATGTGTGCCTAAATGGTAGTAGTAAGATCGTGGTAAAAGTAGTACGGAATTAGCGGTAAGGTAAAAGTAGATATGATGAGTCTAGTTGCTACAGAAGATTTATTAGATAATGCAGGCATATCAAGATGGTGAGTCACAAGTAAGAAACTAGTGGATGGCTAATAAGGTCCGTAATGGCTGTTGGTGGAATAGAAAGCTTTCACTTATCTGACTTATGGGTCTAGAATCAGCGGGCAACTATTTATTTTGCTTGTAGACCTGTGCATGGAGACGAAGAAGGGAAAAATAACTAGGTGAAACATAGGGTAACTGCGATCTTAGGCGGACATCAAGTTTACATTTGAAGGACTCTATTGGTCTGGCTTAAACAACTCCTGCGAGGACAGCGCTCCAAGTCTTATCAACTCTTAGGGGGTAAACGTTACGCCTAACATCTCTCCTACAGTGTTTAGGTTCTAGCTTCCAGATGTTCTCCTAAGATTCGTATTACAACTAAGCATAAGCAGCGTAAACGTTTGACAAATCGTACAGCAAACGAAATTTGTCAAATGGTTTCAAATGGTAGGTAATGGAATGGAGGAAATTTTCGCTCAAATGGCCTCCGTGTCGAGGGAGAGTGGGCTTCAAGTTCTTTCGTTTGTTAACACGGGCACAGACGAAGAGACCAAAAAAGATAGAGGTTAAAATGGGAAAAGCAAGTGATTTTTGAGTCGGCGCCCACCCATATGATAAGCAGATGTCAGGTCGGCGTCTAAGGATTTGAAGCAGGTAGCCCGACCCACTTCCGCAAGAAGGGAGTTCCGAGATTTTACAATTCTGAGAAAATGGAAGTTGTCATTGGCATCTAGGGTTCTGTGACGTCGACTTAGCTTCTCTGTGTGACCTCTAAAGTTACAGTTTCAACTAGGTATAAACGGATGACTAAACGGGTGCCCAGGGGTGCCTAAGATATTATAAGCCATTATGAAGTCACCTGTTAGTTTTCTACATTCCAGGGGACATATGTCAGACCCTGCTACTTGTTCCTCATACGCTTAACAAAACTGCATACAGAAAGTATCTAGATAAATAATGGAGTGTCTGAAGTACTGAATATTATACAGTGGAGACCTACTGGATAGTCACACCGAAGCCAAGTGGTATGCTGTCAGTAAGAAATATGTAGTCATATTTCACGGATGGCAGTTTAGTTTGACCAATATCTATGAAGTTATCCCTGGCGTTGCATTGCGCTTAACCCCTAGCGCCAAGAGAAACGAAGAGTGGCACTAGGTTGTGCCATCAAGTCTCCAGAAATTCTTTGACAGAAGCCAGGTGAGAATGTCAACTTAGTCGGCATACTGTTACATTTCCAGAAAGAATTTCCTACTTTGTTTGCAGACGCTGTAGAAGTTTATAACCGCAGCAAGTTTTCTATCGTAGCCAGGAACTGACATCTTGAATGAGCTGTTGCGTAATAGATGAGGCGAAACCCTTTCGGTACCTTCATGTTTTTACGTTCACGCATGAACTTTGTGGTGATCAGGAGTTAGGCTGTTAGGCGTAATGCATTTTCGTCTGTTCATACGGAAGTGCACTTTGAACCGGCGAGAGAAATCTGAGGAATGGGTAGGGGCGAAACTAAACAAGGTAAACTATAGAGGCCACCTCTCGCACATCTAGACTTATTATTACTTGCTGATGGAAGAAGAAACTACTCTAGTTTGCATACCCGTTTTGGACATCCCACCACCTTTCTTAACGGTCCCTACACTGCTTCCCAACGCAGCTGATCACTCGAAACTATCATCACATAGAAGGCCGTACTGGCACACCACACTTTCAGTGTCACGTTAAAATACGGGATCAGTTCAGTTAAAAGAATGAAGGGAAAATATGAACAGTGCCGATGCTTGTAGGCTGAATTAAATCCGTAAACTACAACACTGTACCGTCACACACTTCCCCAGAATCAATAGCCTGGGTTTGACGACTTTCAACATTGATGCTGACCTTGATAGTTTAACTGGACTCGCTAAGCTGAAAGTACCCGGTCAAGCATCCTCTCCATTTGGCACACTGTCGTGTTACGTTGCACTGCCAGTACTCGACTCTCTAGCCAGTTAGTTGGGACGCATCGGTATCTTGGCACAACTATCCAAATGTACTATTCCATCTGACTACGCTATCATGTTCTTCTTTGCTCTCGTACTCGTGGGTATATAACGAGTCCGAATAATTAGTGATTGGTATTTGCGTCCGTCAAGTTTGCACCAGGACAATTCCTATATTGGTGAGCCTGACGTGATCACATATCCGACCAATAACAAATATTGAATTGGTGAGCCTGTTCCATTTCATATTTGTATGTTGTTTTCATTTCGATAACATTTATATATCCATTTACTACACTTTCTCATGTCCGACCACACTCACAAGCTTATTCGTATCAAGCCGACTACGAACACGATCCAACTAGTGCCATATTGGCCAGACAATGCAGAAACATGGTTTCTGTATGCCGAGGCAGGTTTTCGAGAACAGGGAGTCTCAGATCCTCATTCTCGATTTCTTGCTGCCATACGTTCGCTGCCGCAGGGATTAAACAGCCAAGTTACAGCACACATATTTAGTCTCGAGGTAAGTGATTCTTATGCACTTCTCATAGCAGCACTCTTAAAGAAAAGTGATCCCACAGATCTCCAGCGCCTAGACGAACTGCTTCGCAATATCGAGCAAGGCAACCACACAGCTACTGAAGTCCTCGCACGCATGCGAGAGGTTATGGGGGCACGAACATTCGACAATGGCCTTTCCCGAGAACTATTTCTCTCAAAACTACCACGACCGGTGGAAACCGTGTTGGTGACGCTGCAGTCAGTCCCACTCGATGACCTGGCAGCCCCAGCAGATAAAATGCTGGAGATCTCTAGCAGACCCGTCTCCAACGCATATTCTGTCTGAGACAGACCAGAGAGCCAAGATTCAGAGGCGACCAAACTGTGCAACTCTGTTAAACAGTTGCTGCGATCTCGAAGTCCTAGTTCACGTAGAACTCCACAGAAACGCGTCTTAGTGCATCGCAGCAACTCGCGTGGTTGCTCCAAAACTAAACCTAATAGGGTGGAAAACCCTGAATGGTGCTGGTTTCATAATACTTGCACAGACGAAGCCAAAAAAGTGCCGGAAGCCATGCAGTTTTAACAAGGACACAAACTCGGGAAACTGTCACGCTGGTACGCGTTCACTGCAACCGTAGCCGGATGAAACAGCCGTTTGCTCAATGTCACGGATATTAGAACGAAGTTCGCTACCTTGTCGACACCGGCACAGAAGCTAGCGTTCTTCCCACACCGACGAAACAGCGTCATCATGACCCATCCTTCAATCTCCAAGCAGCCAACGGCAAGGCAATCGAGACGTTAAGGAGATGGTATGCCTACCTCAACTTGGGTTCACGTGAACCTATCCACTGGATTTTCCTCCTTGCTGACGTCTCTATGTCCATCATTGACACAGATTTGCTGGACTATTACGATCTACTAGTAGGTGCTCATCGTCGACGACTGACAGATAACAACGCGGAGTTATATATTGGGCATTATCAAACCGTCAAGCAGCCCCCGGGCATCACCATTGCACACGGTTCCCAAAAAGGATAGCAACGACTGGCGTCCAACCGGTTACTACCGAAAGCTTAACTCCAAACGAACACCGGACTACTACCCGATACCTCACGTTTACGACCTGACTGCGACGTTATGCGGAATGAAAATTTTCTCCAAAATCGATTTGGTCAAAGCGTACAACCAGATACCTATGGCAGCAGAAGATATCGCGAAAACAGCCATTATTACTCCTTTTGGTCTGTTTGAATTCCTGCGCATGCCATTTGGTCTTCGGAATGCAGCACAAACATTCCAACGCTTTATGGATGATGTCTTCCGTGGTTTAAATTTTGTTCATGTCTACATCGATGACTGTCTAATTGCGAGTCCAGATAAGGAAACTCACCTTAAACATTTGGACCTCGCATTCGAAAGACTCAAAAAACATGGCATCACAGTAACTTACAGAAGTGTGAAATAGGAGTTGAATCACTCAGCTTCCTTGGGCATACCATTGACAACAAAGGTATACGCCCATTGATAGAGTGGCGGCTATCACAAACTATCCAGAGCCGACCACTGTGAAACATCTCCGCACTTTCAATGGCCTGGTAAGTTATTACCGAAGGTTTATCCCTAACTGTGCCTCTGTCATGAGACCACTAACAGATCTACTTCGAGGAACTGCGAAGTTCGTGTCTCTGGACAACGCGGCTAGACTTGCTTTCTCTAAAGTCAAGGAAGCCATTTCGAACGCAACCATGCTTAT